AACCTACCAAACCAAAATTTTTATTCAAGTACCCACAACAACTCTGTCGTAATTTCTAGTCTTGAATAAAATAATACAACTGCCAAATTAAACTATTAAAACACTATCTCTTTTTTCATACACACAAAAATCCAATGCACAATATCAGCTAGGGGTGAAAATAAAAAGAACATATCTTCATCTTCACACAGCTTAAATAAAAACTCAACATACAAACTTCAAAATGGCAATCTCAGAGCTCAATCTGCAAATCACCAGCAACTGAAAAAATGATATACCGTATTTTCCGGCGTATAAGACGACTGGGCATATAAGACGACTCCCAACTTTTCCAGTTAAAATATAGAGTTTGGGCTATACTCACCGTATAAGACTACCCCTCTTCCAACGCACACCAAATAAAAATTAAAAAACATCAGATTTGATTTCAATATGGTAATTTTAATTCAGATGTTTATGACATGCAGGTACTTAGCAGAAAAACTGTCACTTATAAACATAAGGCTGTCATCAAACATATAAACATAAAACAGTGCAAGTGGATTAAACTTTTCCTAATTCACTCTAAAGCTGAAAGGAAGGATAAGACAATAAACCCATGGGAGCTGCCATGCTGTTTGTTTTTTAAGCTGTCAACCAAACTGGAATTGATGTTGATAGGAGGAAGATAATAAGCAATAGAAAGAGCAAGTGCCGGGCAAGTCCCTGGTGAGTCAGCAACGCCCATCATAACTGCAAGCTATTTTTATAGGTTTTGCTTGCGTGACAGTTTCCCTTTAAAAGCCTTCAAAATCATCCTGTTCATCATCTGATATCATAAAAATATCAATGACATCTTGTGGTACATTTGTAAGGCAGTCATCATATGGATCAAATTCCGTATCAGATGGTGTGGTCTCAGCTTCGGCTTCCTCTTCAACTTGCCACAAGTAGTCATCCTCCATACCATCTAATGAATTTGATATGCCACACTTCTTGAAAGACTTGATTACTGTTTCTGCATCAATATCATTCCAGGCTTTTATGACAAACTTGCACAAAACATCCAACTGTGGAGCACGCATGTTTCCTCCTTTTGTGAATGACTTTTCGCCGCTAACCATCCATTCATTCCACCATTCTCGAATGCGATCTTTAAATGGCTTGTTTAGGCACACATCCAATGGCTGTACCAATGATGTCAATCCTGCAGGAATAACTGCCGCATCTGTGTTTATTCTTGCAAGCCTTTGCTTGGTGCTGGGAGTTAAATGAGCCCTGAACATATCCCACACCAGTAGACTACGTTTTTGAAGAAGTTCACCTGGTCGCCTGCTTCATACATTATCAAGCCATAGCTTTACCCCTTCTTCATCCATCCAGCCTTTTTCATTCACATGTACAAAACAACCAACAGGGAACTTGAGTTTCGGCATTGTTTTTCTTTTAAAAATAATCATTGGTCTCAGTTTGGCACCATCAGCTGTGCATCCTAGTACCACTGTAAAACTGGACTTCTCATGTCCTGTTGTTTTAATTAAAATTGTTTTTTCACCTTTTTGATGGACAGTTTTATTTCCAACCATATCAAAATTCATTGGAGTTTCATCCATATTTCCAATACTACTTAACGCATAGCCATGTTTAATGCGCTGTTGTATTACGCATCGATGGAAACTAATTGCTATCAAGATCTGCAGGTAATTTGTGTGCAATTTTTGTCTTTTGCCTCAGTACCATATTATGCCTTTTCAAGAATCTAGTACACCAAGATACAGTGGCCTTAAATCTGTTGCTGTGATCTGGGTTAGATTTGGCCCACTGAAGTGCAGACAAACATATTTTATTTCGTGTCACTACATAACCATGTTGGCGATGCTCATTCACCATGTCTGCTACATGTTTTTCAAGTTCTGGCCAATCTGGGGTGCCTCTTCTTAATGCACACTTACCCCTTGCCATACTCTTTAATGCTTTTTCATTTGCTTTCCAGTCCCGAACTATCTTTTCTGTTACTCCATATTGTCTTGCAGCAGCGCAGTTATTATGTTCCATGGCAAAGTTTACAACATTAAGTTTGAAACTGGCTTCATATTTCCTTCTTCTTGCTGGTGGAGCCATGATAGCGTCTTGACTGTTGGACATTTGTATACTGTACTGTATGTACTGGTGCTCTACTGTATGAACTGGTACAGATACTGGTGCTGTACTGTACCGGTACGTACCCAGTATGCAACAACCAGCCAATCATGGCAAGCGATATACCTTATCACTGGCAAGCGATGTACCTTACCGGTGATTGGCTGGTTGTTGTATACAAAGCCTGGTTGGATTGAGTGGGTCAGCTCTCCCTGCCTGCCCAGCCCTCCCTGTTGTCTTATATGCCCTAGGGAAAAAATGGACAAGCTAATACACCCTTTCGCTGAAGAAGGGGAGAGGGAGGGAGGAAAGGGAGCAAAGTTTTCTGAGTTCTCATTGGCCACCTGTAAGCCCAAATGAGTACAGTATTCTCTCCTCCGCAGGCGCCCTTTTATGCCAGTGCTGAGCTCAGGGTGTGTGCGTGCACATGGCATGCATGCGACTCCCCCGGGCTGCGCACCGGGATCTCTGGAGACTGGATCTCCTCCTCTTGGTCTTCCATCCACAAATACTAGCCGGTTTCAGGCTAGTATTTACTGCAACTCTCTCGGCCCCTGCCCATCTTTCTGACATATACACATGCGTGCACACACACACACACACATGCCTCCTTTCCCTCCTCCCTCTCCCTCCAATCCTTTCCCTCCACCCCGATTTCCAGCTCGGAAAGTGCAAAGAAGCGAGGAGACAGATTGAATTTTGTCACTAATTTCTCAGGGTGAGCATTTACCAGCCTGTGACTTCAAGTTAGCAAAAAGCAGCTGCAAACCACACGCCTGCTAGAGGTGAGCTGCGGGGACGGATTGCTGAAACAAACAGCTTAGCGTTTAATTGCTCTCCCCACCGCCACTCTACCAATCAAGGACTCTTTTTGAGCAAGGGGGGGGAGAGAAAACTTGATGAGTAATGTGCCAAACCACATGTGTAAAGGAATAAAATAGAATACCTGTATTTTCCGGCGTATAAGACGACTCGGCGTATAAGACGACCCCCAACTTTTAAGAAGGTTTTTGTGGCTTAGAAAGTCGTCTTATACGCCAGAAAATACTGTAACCACATTTCCTGCCAAGCATTGTTGATGAGGGAGTAAAAAACCCTCATAAATGAGGCTGAAAGAACTAACACACAAGAGGCATGACGTCACGCAAGGGCATGACCCTTCCACAGTACAAGGAGCTGGCCAAGCCCCAGGACTTGCCAGACTCTCACCAGGTCCCAGCCACGACCCACAGGTCTGACTGTTTTGCCAGTGAGAACGGCCCTTTACCACACACTTAGTCTGTCCTCAAAGTAAGTCCAGGCACGACCCTTCCCTTACTGCCAGATTAGGACAGGCTTAATTAACTAAAACACAACAACTTCCTTATCTATCTACCCTAAGGTCCCAAGGAAAGAGGCCTTTTTCTTACCTCTGACCAAAGTAGATTGTGAGTGCTCGGAGAGAGCGGGCTGGTTACCTGTTGCCCAAAACCAGGAAGCAATCAGAAATCCCGGTTGGACAGCAGATCTCTTCCAGCAACCATCTGTTCCCGGCCAATGCACCAAAAACTGTTGTGGAAAAACGCAATGAAAAAGACAAGAGACAGCAACACAACATAATAATTCTTACTTTAAGATTCAAAGGTTTATTTCTCTAATAATTTGGAACATAGCAAGCATAATAACACAACATCACTTCCATTAATAACACATTGCAAAGAGGACCATATGACATAGCAGAATCCAATATGACAGCTATAGGCCAATGGTAAATCAATCAGGTCCAGTCCCAACCTTTTATATCCTTTCTCGTTCTAAGATTGTAGTCAGATGGTCCACTGACTTTTGCTGACTTCTGACCTTTGCTGACTTTTCACTGACTTGCTGTTGAGCTACTTTCCACATATACCCTTGTACATTGGAACCCGTATCCATCAGCTACTTTTCAGTTCCCTATTTCTCCCACGGTTACAATACTCATGTTCCAAATATACATCGAACTATCTACTTTGCTCAGCAGATTACAAATAGTACGTTCGTATTGTGAAACAGCATAAAGTTCAAGTTAAGAGCTTCAAATCACTTCTGTGGGGGCCTATTTCAGATTTGTTCTAGCCTCATCTTGTTATATGAGGAGGGGGCTATATTTTCATCTCCCACACTTTCTTTTAAATAGACACCCTGTGTGTGTGTATGTGTGTGTGTATGGTGATTCTCTCACACATAGAGACACACACTGTTCAGTGGAACCAGTTACTTGGTGACATTCCTCATTTGTTAAGTCAGCCAATTTTGGTTGGTTGCAGGTGAAGACCAAATTGAGCTGTGATAGTCTGCCATGTCAAGTTATTTCTGAACACCTTCAAATGACAAGCTCCTGATCACTGGCCTGAGCAATAGTGCCTTAACTGAGATTTTGCACCATTGTTATACAATCTTCAGTGTCAATTGTGCCATTGTGATGAGAAGTTTCAAGAAATGGTGGTCGGAGTAATTGTTGTGTTAATAATTGGGTACGTGCAGTTTGCCTGTTAAGATAGCAAATCAAGTAAATGTTTTTGATTAGGGAATTACAAATCTTTTACCAAGCATAGGAAGTAAACGTGAAGGAATAACTTCTGTTTTTTAAAATTCTTCACTTCAGAAATCATGGCACTAAATGTTTCAGGCATGAACATCATCACAGGGAAAGTACTTTTTAGAACTGATGTCCTATTGGATATATTCATATCCTCAAGTAAGCCTGCAAAGGGGTAGGACTGTCTGGATCAGTTGTTTTATAAGCTCACATTACACACTGGGTTTTGTTAAGTAGAAAATATATAGGAATATACTATAGCCTACTTCTTTGTCATGATTTCTTTCACAGTGAAGTTTCATATTATGTGTGTGTTTTTGGTTAGTGGGTGACTTCGATAAAATATGGCGTGAACATTGTGAGGATGAAGAAACTCTCTGTGAATATGCTGAAGCAATGAAAAACCTGGCAGATAATCACTGGACTAAAACTTGTGAAGGAGAAGGTCGCATTGAATGGTGCTGCAGGTAAATCTTTATATAGTCTAATAAAAGAAAATGCTATATAATATTAAAAATATTTCTCTCATAGCTTTATGGAAGATAGTGGGAGTACTATACATTTCCAATTTTGAAGGATGTATTTTGCAGTTTGAGCATATGGTAAAGGTGCTTGAAGAGCTCCAACCATCCACTTATACTCTTAACCTATGCCTATCTTGATTATTTCTAGAAATGGCTGAATGGTTATCAGTGTCTAAAAGACAAAAATATATCTTTAGCAAAGTAGAAATTTGTGAGATAATCTTGAGAAAAGCTTCATTGGACCTAAACATTATTAACAACTATCAACCAACTGTGATTTTTTTGTTTTTAGCCTAAGTATAGCAACTGAATGATAATAATCCAATTCTGGGTATTCTTGAATAAAATGTTATCTTTACCAGAAGTGAATTGTAAAAACTTGATGTCCAGCACCAGTTTTTTTAATTACATTGTCCCAATTCTTGGCTTTTGGTTGTACTTGCTTGAGAGTTGAAATTCTAAATATGTGGAGAGTTTCAGATTGCCTACTCCTGATCAAAACTCTATAGTATGTATTAGGCTTATGTTCTGCACAAAACAAAACTTAATATAAAGATCTCTATTCAAAGAAAGATTGGGTTATGTGATGAAAGCCAGTTTGGTGCAGTGGGTTAAATCACTCATTGAGTTCTAGTCTCACCTTAGCCATAAAAGCCAGCTGGGTGAACTTGGGACAGTCTTAGCCCAAATCACCCCCAGCGTTGTTGTGGAAAAAATAGAAGGAGGAAGGTGTGTTGTACATATTCACCACCTTAAGTTACTATTAAAATAATAAAGGGATCCAAATAAATAAATGTTGATTTTTTTTTTTGTAACCTTTTGGCAGCTTTAGTACCAATGACTGTAATATCCTATTTATCCAGTTTTGTGGATTAGGATTGAAAGTCATGAGGATTCAGTTTTATTTGCAAATCTGGTTTCAAAAGTAATTTGGAGCTTGTGCATTACTCTGTGGCACTGAACCTGTAATGGCCCACAAAATCCCATACAGTATTTTCCTTCATGCTTTCTAATATATAAAGCCATTAGCGAAACTACTTTATGAGCTCTGTGGCATAGACACAGGAATTCCTTACAGGTAGTTCTCAATTTACAACCACAATTGGGACCAGAATATCTGTTGCTAAGCAAGGCATTTAAGTAAGTTACGCCCAGTTTAATGACCTTTTTTGGCACAGTTGTTAGCAAATAAACACAGTTGTTAACTGACTCATGCAGCCTTTAAAGAAAACTGCCTTCCAGAATAGAATAGAATGGAATGGGAATAGGAATAGGAATAAATAAGAATAAGAATTAAACCTTGGAGGTCTTCTACTCCAGCCTCCTGTTCAAGCAGGAGAACCTATACCATTTCAGACAAGTGACTGTCTAGTCTCTTCTTTAAAATCTTTAGTGATGGAGCGCCCACCATTTCTGAAGACAAGCTGTTCCACTGGTTAATTGTCCTCACTGTTAGGAAGTTTCTCCTTCATTCCAGGTTGCTTCTCTCTTTGGTCAGTTTCCAACCATTGTTTCTTGTCCTGCCCTCTGGTGCTTTGGAGAATAGTTTGATGCCCTCTTCTTTGTGGCAGCCCCTCAAATACTGGAACACTGCTATCATGTCACCTCTGTTACGACTTTGTCGGAAGCTGGCTGGGAAAGTTGCAAATGGTGATCATATGACCCCAGGATGCTGCAATCATTGTAAATACATGCTGGTTGCCAGGTACCTGAATTGTGATCATTTAACTATGGGAATGTTGCGACAGTCATAAGTGTGAGGACCTGTTGTAAGTCACTTTTTTCAGTGCCATAGTAACTTTGATCGCTAAACATATGGTTGTAAGATGAGGACTACCTGTAGTCTTTACTTGGAATCATATAAAGAGTTCATTTCAGAACTGACAGTTTAATCATTGTTTTTAGTTCCTAGATAACTTAAGAAATATACTTTCTAGAAAAAGTAATTTACTATAGAAGATGCATAGGGAAGAAAATATGAAGGATAAAGTGAAAAAAAGGGGAAATGGTGAGGTCCATATAATTCTACAATACTACATGAACTGAAAGAATTGTGCAATACTGAACAGTTTCTATGGTTATTTTAGCATTTAGCTTAAATCCAATTGTTAATTTTATATGCATTTTGCTGAAGTATAATTAGCTTAAATTACAATATCATAATATGCAATAATTACAGTGTTTTAAATCATGGGTGTAATAGAATACCACAGGAACATTTTTTTAAAAAAAAAAATCTGTCTGCCTTTCTGCCTTAAGTGTGTCCCGGGAATATTTTCAAAATGGTGGAAAACAGAAAGCACTGGAAAAAGATGAGAAAAGAGCAGCTCTTGCTACTAAAAGCATTCAAACTACCAGCGTTCATCCAAGTTCAAAAATGGAAGTTTCTACTGATAATTTAAGCCATAGTTCTATAATGGATGAGTAAGTGTCTAATTGTGATGTGATTATGAATAGGAAGATAATTTTTGTAATATTCTTTCAATTTATTAATTTAGATAAGACTTCTGAGCACTGCTGTGCTTAATGAATTAGTTAACTGTGCGATCTAAATTTCCTGTTTAAAACCAGTGTGATTTAAATGTTTCGCTTTGGTTAGTTTATAACTTCTTATAAAAGCATATACAACACACTTATACAACCAGTTACTCTTTATTAGGAATAGGTTTTATGGCTCTCTAACAACAATAAAAACATTACCATTGTCAAACTGAGGTTTTCAGTGTTCATTGGGAAAACCATGACAATTAACCCTCTTTCATATAGCATGTCTATAATGTATTGTATAGAATTAAAATATTCTGAAGTAAGCAGCCAATTTAGATGAAAAATATAGAATAGGCTTTTTTGTTAGAATTCATTGTATGATCATTGTATAATCATAATATGTATATATGCAGCTAGGCCAGGGATAAGGCAACCCAAAACACTCAAAGAGCCACTTGGACCCATTTCCCACCAAAAACAAAACACTGGGAGCCGCAAAACCCTTTTGATAGCTAAAATGAAGATTGCAGTGTTATCTTCATTTTAGATGTCAAAAGGTTCTCTCTCTCTCTCTCTGTCTTTCTCTCGGTCCCTCCCTCCCTCTCTCTCTTTCTGCCCTTTGTCTGCCAGTCCTCTTCCCCCACTCTTTCTCTCTTTCTCTTTCCTCTCCCTCTCTTTCTTTCTCTCTCTCTCTCTCTTTCACTCCCTCTCTCTTTCTTTCTCTCTCTCTCTCTGTCTTTCTTTCTCTCTTTTGCTCCCTCTCTCTCCCCCCTCCTCTCTCCCTCTCTCCGATCTTTTGCTCACCTGGCAAGCTGGCTTTAAGCTGTTCTCCAACAAGCTCAGGGGTAGGCAACCTCGGCTCTTTTATGACTCATGGACTTCAACTCCCAGAATTCCTGAGCCAGCATAGCTGGGCTAGCTAGCTCTCTCCTGCCCTTCCTGCTTCCTGCAGAGACGCAGCCAAGGCAGGAGCCCCGCCCAGTAAGCTTTTCAGCTTGTCAGAGAACACCGTGAGTCCACTCTCTTTTTTTTACACACACACACACACACACACACACACACACACAAACAGAGAGCGAGAGAGCGAAAGGAAGCGCAAGTGCCTCTCTCTGTTTCTGTCTCTCTCTGCAAATGGCAGAGGAGGCTGGGAGCCGCAGGGGAAGGCTCAAAGAGCCGCATGCGGCTCTGGAGCCACAGGTTTCCGACCTGTGAGCTAGGCAAATAGCTTCTTATATTAGAACTTGAAAAAACAGATTTGTTACATATATACAGTGAGGGAAAAAATCATTTGATCCCCTGCTGATTTTGTACATTTGCCCACTGACAAAGAAATGATCAGTCTATAATTTTAAAGGTAGGTTTATTTTAACAGTGAGAGACAGAATAACAACAAAAAAAAATCCAGAAAAACGCATTTCAGAAAAGTTATAAATTGATTTGCATTTTAATGAGAGAAATAAGTATTTGACCCCTTTGCAAAACATGACTTAGTACTTGGTAGCAAAACTCTTGTTGGCAATCACAAAGGTCAGATGTTTCTTGTAGTTGGCCACCAGGTTTGCACACATCTCAGGAGGGATTTTGTCCCATTCCTCTTTGCAGATCCTCTCCAAGTCATTAAGGTTTCGAGGCTGACATTTGGCAGCTCGAACCTTCAGCTCCCTCCACAGATTCTCTATGGGATTAAGGTCTGGAGACTGCCACTAGGCTTCTTCTTGAGCCACTCCTCTGTTGCCTTGGTCGTGTGTTTTGGGTCATTGCCATGCTGGAATACCCATCTACAACCCATTTTCAATGCCCTGGCTGAGGGAAGGAGGTTCTCACCCAAGATTTGACGGTACACGGCCCCGTCCATCATCCCTTTGATGTGGTGAAGTTGTCCTGTCCCTTAGCAGAAAAACACCCCCAAAGCATGTTTCCATCTCCATGTTTGATGGTGGAGAAGGTGTTCTTGGGGTCATAGGCAGCATTTCTTCTCCAAACACAGCAAGTTGAGTTGATGCCAAAGAGCTCGATTTTTGTCTCATGTGACCATAATACTTTCACCCAGCTCTGAATCATTCAGATGTTCATTGGCAAACTTCAGATGGGCCTGTACACGTGCTTTCTTGAGCAGGGGGACCTTGCGGGCACTGCAGGATTTCAGTCCTTCATGGTATACTATGTTACTAATTGTTTTCTTGGTGATTATGATCTCAGCTGCCTTGAGATCATTGAAAAGATCCTCCCGTGTAATTCTGGGCTGATTCCTCACCATTCTTATGACCACTGAAAGTTCACAAGGTGAGATCTTGCATGGAGCCTCAGACTGAGGGAGATTGACAGTTATTTTGTGTTTTTTCCATTTCCAAATAATCAAACCAACTGTTGTCACTTCTCACCAAGCTGCTTAGCGATAGTCTTGTAGCCCATTCCAACCTTGTGTAGGTCTATAATCTTGTCCCTGACATTCTTGGACAGCTCTTTGGTCTTGGCCATGGTGGAGAGTTTGGAATTTAATTGATTGATTGCTTCTGTAGACAGGTGTCTTTTATATAGCTAACAAGCTGAGATTAACAGCACTTCCTTTAAGAGAGTGCTCGTAATGTCAGCTTGTTACTTGTATAAGACACTTGGGAGCCAGAAGTCTTGCTAATTGATAGGGGATCAAATACTTATTCCACTCATTAAAATGCAAATCAATTTATAACTTGTTTGAAATGCGTTTTTCTGGATTTTTTGTCGTCGTTATTCTGTCTCTCATTGTCAAAATAAACTTACCATTAAAATTATAGATTGATCATTTCTTTGTCAGTGGGCAAATGTACAAACTCAGCAGGGGATCAAATAATTTTTTTCCTCCACTGTAGTTGCTAAATCAGGGGCCATGTTCCCAAATGTATATGTCATGAGCCAGTTCACTGAATGTTCCATATCTTTCAAAATTTGACATGTTTAATCTGTTGTTTAAATAAAAACCTAGTTCAAACATTACCTCATTTATTACCTAAAAGATTAAAAAGAAACTATTTCTATACAAATCTCACTCATTAATGCTGAATCTGCAACATATTTACTATTTTAAATAGAATTTCCATGATTAAGATTCTTAGAGACATTTCAATTTTTTTTTCCTTCCACTTAGATTGTTGCATCCTTCAGGAAAAATAAGATTACTTGATGTTGGCAGCTGTTTTAATCCATTTTTGAAGTTTGAAGAGTTTCTGACTGTTGGTATTGATATTGTCCCAGCTGTTGAGGTATGAAATAAACAATGCAAATCATAAAATGTAGTACTTATACAATGGTTGCTAATCTTACAATTCCCTTTTGATTAATATCTGCTAGTATAGTTTTGAGGTTGAAAGTGAATATGTTAATAAATAGTTAAGCTCAAGGTATGGACAGATGACTGAAAACTTCAGCTTTACTAGTATATATCTAAAGCCGTTGCTTAGGTTATAGTATGGTTAAAGCTTGAGTACTCAGTGATGTGCCACATAGTTGTATTTCACTACTGGAATTTGCACTATTTCCTGTATTATTTTCAATGTCATAGTTCATTGTTCTCATGCTTCACAAAATAACATATATTTTGGAGGGAGAGTCAAGGTATCATAATTAATAAAGTAGTCCTCTTACAAAACAAGACCTTCTGCTTTCCTTTCCCCCCCCCCCCCTCCAAATCTCTGCTTTGTAGAAACTTCAGATTTTGAGAATATAGTGGGGCTAAAGGAAAAATTCTGTACACAAAAAAATAATCAAAATTTATTCATAAGTACATATTTTATTACATATTCCCTTTTCTTCATATAGGCAAAAACACACCTACATTACCTGAAACAAGTGCATGCTGCTTAACTTAAAAAAATTATACTCAGATAAAAATGTAATTAATTGATCAATGAAAAATTCTATTGCTGATTTTAAGAATTCTTTAACTGAGTTATCTTATTTACTTGTTTTCCAAGTATATCATTGCATCTATATTTCTTCCCCCAGAGTGTCTACAAATGTGACTTTTTAAACCTTCAGATTCATCAACCTCTTCAACTTGCACAAGATGCCATTGATGCTTTTTTGAAACAGTTGAAGAATCCTATTGATTCCCTGCCTGGAGAACTATTTCATGTTGTGGTCTTTTCCCTCCTCCTTTCTTATTTCCCTTCACCCTATCAGCGGTGGATATGTTGTAAAAAAGCCCATGAACTACTTGTATTAAATGGATTGCTCTTTATTATCACTCCTGACTCTTCCCATCAGAATCGCCATGCTATGATGATGAAAAGCTGGAAAATTGCTATAGAATCTTTAGGGTTTAAACGTTTCAAATACTCAAAATTTTCTCATATGCATTTGATGGCCTTCAGGAAAATCTCACTCAAAACAACAAGTGACTTGGTGAGCAGGAACTACCCAGGGATGTTATACATTCCCCAGGATTGTAACACTGTGGAGGAGGAGGAATTTTCTAATAATTCCTGCTATATCCGATCAGATGTTGAAGATGAACAACTGGCCTGTAGCTTCATGGAGCTACCAGATGCTCCTTATGATTCAGATTCCGGAGAAAGCCAGGCTAGCTCTATACCGTTTTATGAACTAGAAGATCCTATATTGCTTCTAAGTTAATGTAACAATTAAAATCTGCTTCAGAGTCCAAACTCCCTTTCCCATAAAACTAATTTTGCAAAATTGACATCTGCTCTGCAAATGAAGCATTTACAAAAAGGAAATGCTAAAGATTTTGAAAACTATTGCTATTTTTTTGTACTTATAAATTTTAAAATGTATTCTTGTATTGAAAAATTAACATGTGTTTTATGCAGTATGACTCATGCCATATCATGAACAGGGTTTACTTAGTAATATTCTAGAAAGATACCATTCCCTTCCAGTGCTGTGAACTGTGATTATGCATTCTATGCTAATGTGCCCTGGTTTGATACTTTTAATGCTTTTGATTGAGATTCATGATAGCATTTCTGAGGTTTGCACAAAATAGATGATATGCACTGTTAATTGTCTAAGAAATATGTTCAGAAAGCTTTGTTAGCCTTGAACTTGAATAAAGGTTTTGCTTGAGATAATGTTGATCTGGTGAGTGAAAATAACTGCAAAATCACTTCACTTAAGTTGTATTTGCAACTGGAGTACTTTAACAAAATACAGATCCTGTTATTTGTGCAATTCAGTATACTATATAATATACATAAGCATAAACAGGTTTCTTTTAGTTACCTCACAACTTGTGTATTCGTGCCATTGTTTCAATTTCACTGCTTTACCAAGTTTTCTTAAATTAATATGTTTATCCTATGGGAGAAAATAGAAGATTGTTGCTTAATTCTCTGTCTAGATGTCAGGTTAGATAGCTAATCTGCATATGAAGACATTAAGTTAAAAAAATAAGTTTAATTTCATTCATTCTAGTTAAAAATGAGCGATAAAACATTTTGTTTTAAGAACAACCCCAACATTTCCATTCTTAGCTGCCCCAGAAATTTACTAATATCTAAAGATCATTTCCTGATTTAATAACTGATTAAATAATTCATGTTTGCATATCTGAATGATGATGTAGCCAATATATTTTGAAATACATAAAAGAGAAATCTAAAAAACAAAATAGTTTTACAGTTTCAGAAATGATAGTATTAATATTAATCATTCATTTCAGGAAGTCCACTGCTTAGTTTCAAGGAAAGTATTTATGAAAGGTATTTTTAAAAAATTACAATGCTTTTACCACTAAATTTTTGCACAAAAGTTTCACAACTGACTTTTAGGTTTGCTTTTTACCTTGTGTGTTAAGTAATTCATGGAATAAACCTTATATGTTAAACCTTATCTAAATGCATTCACTGGTGAGACATGAACTAAATAAAAGACCGCAATTTTTAGCTCCAAAATCAGATTGGCAAACCGTTTACTCCACAGATAAAGCAAAATGGAGTGTGAATGAGCTATATATGTAAAAACGGTGCTAGAAAGTTTGCAGCCAACATGTTACATCCTCAGCAACGTTTTTCAGTTGCATAACTATATGCTAGCCAGGCAAACGTTTCCTACTTCTAATTAAAAATTCCTTTTAACTAGAATTTAAAAGCTTGCTCCTTTTATATTGTTGGACTAATTTAAAAATCTTCCCATAATATTGTTTCCTGTTTATGTATCCAGACTATGCATGATGCACTGTTTAATTAGTTGTCAAAATTCCATAGTACAATGCATTTATGTTGCGTGTATATATGTGGTATGTTGTTTTCCAACTCATTCTGATGCCTAATCCAGTTCAAGATATATGTAGATGAAATAGCTTCAAGTTTGAAGGGTAGATATTGGCCAGTAATACCTGATGACTTTGTGGAAAATATGTTGTTTTTCTTGAATGTTAGTGGATATGGTGATGTTTTAAACTACTTGCTATATTTTACTCAATATATTTTCACTGGATATACAAATTTCAAGACAGCTATGTAGATCTGGCAGACGTTCCAAGAAGGGGGTTCTTGAAAACACCAAGAGGTTAACCTAGGACTAACAAGGAAGGTATCCTTTTCAAGTATACCACAGAATGTCTCATTTTTTTTATGTTCTCAGAGCACATCAGGAGAAAACATTGATTTTCTGAATAGTGTTGATGTATACTATTTCATTCAATTTGCCTTTAATGATCAAGAGAGCAAAACTGCCATTGTTACATTATTAATAGAGAATTTGAGAATATAAAATAGTATTTTATAATAATGCTTGGTTATATTTATACACAATCTTGAGAGCAACTGTTTATACAGATCAGTACTAACATAATCAAATAATCAATGGAAGACTGAGTTAACATTCTGTGGCTTGCTTTGTTGGTTGTACCCTGGTTTTTGATTTTTAAATATGTTTACAAAGTAGTGTAATGTTGGCATCTAGCCAATAGTAGCTTATTCAACAACTGAGATTAAACTGGCTTGTTGCATTATGTTGTACCTCTTTGGGAACATGGTTAACCTTCAGTTGTTCTTTAGGATTTTCATATTTCTGTGTTTAAAAAAATATTAATATCAAGCATCAATTGCAATTCATTCAATCCAGTATATTTGCTCTTCATTAAAATGTTGAACTCTTATGTACTTCCAACATCTATGAATAAGTCTGCCTTTTGTCATTAGTTTTTACTCCTTTTGTTCAAATACTTAATACATTTTCAAGGCAAAAAATGACACTGATGTTTAAACAATTTATAAAATGGTACAATGAAAAAAATTATTTGTAAAAAGCGTTCAATGCAGCAGTCTTATTTCTCATTTTAATTTTTTTTAGTTCTTTAGTTACTCACAACCAGATGGATTCGTAGCTGGCTGACTGGCCGTACTTAGCGTGTGGTCATCAATGGAACTGCATCTACATGGAGGGAAGTGTGTAGTGGGGTACCCCAGGTCTCTATTCTGGGCCCAGTGCTCTTCAACATCTTCATCAATGATTTGGATGAGAGGATAGATGGGGAACTCATCAAATTTGGAGATGACATTAAGCTGGCAGGAATAGCCAACACTCCAGAAGATAGGCTTAAGATACAGAAGGATCTTGACAGACTTGAACATTGGGTGCTATCTAATAAAATTAAATTCAATGGTGAAAAAAGTAAGGTTCTACATTTAGGCAAGAAAAAACAAATGCACAGGTATAGTATAGGTGGTACCTTGCTCAACAATAGCAACTGTGAGAGGGATCTTGGAGTCCTAGTGCAGGGCTTTTCAACCGGTGGTACGTGTACCACTTGCGGTACATTAACAAGTGGCAGGTTGTATGCAGCCCTGCCTAGTCAAGTGTAGTGGGGGAGGGAAAGAGCCAGCACAGGCAAGGACTTACTGTGAGAGAGTCCTCTGGAGCTGCCGAGTGGCTGGGGCGAGGCAAAGGCCCGAGGCTCACTTTTGGCTCACCCCCATGAGAAAGGAGGAGGAGGGGGCAGAGACAGGAGAGGCTATAAAAGAAGGCAGTTTGGGCAGGAGAGGGAGGGAGAAAAAAAGCAGCCTTGGGAGGAGGCAGAGTCAGCTCTAGCACAAAAGGGAAAGGAAGAGGAGGGGGGGTAGAGGAGAGGAGATCAAGCAGGCTGGCCAAGAGCCGATCTACAACTGCTGTGGCAGCCATCTGTACTGGCAGCAGCAAACAGACAAGAAATGCAGTGTGGGAGAGGTCGCCCTCCACGAGGAATGAAAAAAGGCAGCAATGGCTGGAGGGAGAAGGGAGGGAGGCACGGACGAGAGAGGGAGATGGAAAGTGGAAGGATTCTTATGTGCTTTTGTGATTTTGAAGTTCTGGGATTTGTTCAATGTGGGCTTTGTGTTCTTAAGGAGTGTTTGGCAATTTCTATTTGGCTGATGGCTGATGTCTTGTATTAACTTCTATTGCTCTACTATTGTTAGCTGTAAGTTTTGTGGCAAGGGATTTTGAAGTATTTTTCTCCTGAATGGATTTTGCCTGTAATATTCCTTTACTTATGAATGGAGCCATTTGGGGAGGCTGCCTTAGCCGGCAGCCAATACTTACATTTTTTTTTTCTTAAGTCCCAGCTGCGCTCCTTACTTTCCTTTCTAGCCAGTAGCTAATTCTTAAAGGGGATTGTGGCTTTTTAAGCTAGTTCACTCAGCAGTTTGTCTTTTCTGTCTCTGGAGGCTTTTCCTTGTTTGATGAATATATGGAAGAGAGAAAGTATTGGGTTTTTTTTTTTTCAAATTCTTCCTTCAGAAAGAAGTGGGCATGAGAAAGAGGGAAGGAGGGAGGGAGGGAAGTCCTGCCTTAGCACTTGGCCACCAGCAGCACTGCCATTGATGCCTGTCAAAAGATTGTAAAAGAGGATCACATGACCCTGGGATACTGTGACCATCATAAATATGAATCAGTTGCCAAGCATCCAAATATAAATCACATGACCCTGGGCATGCTGCAATGGCCATAAGTGTGAAAAATGGTCATAAGTCATTTCAGTGCAATTGCAATTTTGAACTGGGTTTTTTTTGGTCGTCAAGTTTTTGACACCTTGCTAGGTGGTACTCGGATAGTGCCATATCCTAAAAGCGGTACAATCGGTGAAAAGGTTGAAAAGTCCTGTCCTAGTGGACAATCACTTAACATATGAGCCAGCAGTGTGCTGCAGCTGCCAAAAAAGCCAACACATTGCATTAACAGAGGGATAGAATCAAGATCACGTGAAGTGTTAATACCACTTTACAATGCCTTGGTAAGACCACACTTGGAATACTGCATCCAGTTTTGGTCACCACAATGTAAAAAAGATGTTGAAACTCTAGAAAGAGTACAGAGAAGAACAACAAAGATAATCAGGACTGGAGGCTAAAACATGTAAGGAACGGTTGCTTGAATTGGGAATGTATAGTCCAGTGGTGGCGAACCTATGGCACGCGTGCCAGAGGCAGCACGTGGAGCCCTCTCTGTGGGCACGCGCCATCGCCCCAGCACACGTCTCTAAAAGTTCGCCATCACTGGCCTAAGGCCAGCCAGCTGGAGCCGCCATTGGGGAGCCCACCATCCCATCCGCCAGACACCCCCTGGATCTCCCCCAACCCTGCCCGGCTCCCACAGGTGTCCCTTCCCATAAGCAGCATCAAGGTGGCCACGCCCACCCTGGCCATGCCCACCCAATCTGCCATGACTACTGCAGCCACACCCATCCAGTGGCCACACCCACCCAGTCTGCCAAGCCCACTGTAGCTGCCCCCGCCGATTGGGTCACACCCACCTGGCACCTGGCGATACATAATTGGGTTTGGGGTTGCAGTTTGGGCACTCAGTCTCTAAAATGTTTGCCATCACTGGTATAGTCTAATGAAGAGAAGAACAAGGGGTGACATGATAGCAGTGTTCCAATATCTCAGGGGCTGCCACAAAGAGGAAGGAGTCAAGCTATTCTCCAAAGCACCTGAAGGCAGGACAAAAAGCAATGGATGGAAACTAACCAAAGAGAGAAGCAACCTAGAACTAAGGAGAAATTTTCTGACAGAACAATTAATCAGTGGAACAACCTGCCTCCAGAAGCTCTGAATGCTCCAACACTAAGTTTTTAAGAAGAGACTGGACAGCCATTTGTCTGAAATGGTATAGGGTTTCCTGCCTGAGCAGTGGGTTGGACTAGATGATTTCCAAGGTCCCTTCCAATTTTATTATTATTGTTATTATTAATTATTATTATTATTCATTAGACATAACTTCAGTCAACTGAACATTCAAATTGACTGGCGCTGATGATTGACACGGGTTGCTGCCAGCATCCTAGGTATCAACCAGGTACCTCCTTAAAATGTAAGATGTTCCAAGTAGCGCAAGTCTTTTGTAGCATTGCTGGAGTTATTGCAGGAAGCTGCAATTTCTTGAAATATTTTGCAAAGTTTTTGGACATAGTTCCAGTGCCCCGATGACAATGGGTATCACTGTTACATAATTGTGCAGTTTTGATGGTCAGGTTGCGATATTTCGTAATTTTATCCAGTTCTTTTTCTTCGACTCTGGCATCTCCTGGTACAGCAATATCAATGAGCTGTACACTTCGGTTCTCTACAACTGCGATATCTGGTGTGTTGTGTTCCAAATGGCGATCTGTCTGTATTCAAAAGTCCCACAAGATCTTCACCCTCTCATTCTCAACAACTTTTTCCACCCTATGTTCCCATGACTTTTCAGACACAGGCAAGTTGTATTTTTTACACAATGCCCAGTGGATTAATTTAGCAACTTGGTCATGTCTAGTTTTGTAGTCAGTTTGTGCGATTTTGCTGCATTCACACAGTAGATGTGAAACAGTTTCAACTTTGTCATTGCAAAAGTTGGCAATTTGGATTGTCAGTGGATTTTTGTATTCTCGCTTTCATGGCATTAGTTTGTTGTGCTTGTTCTTGAGCAGCCA